CGGAGCTTCTCGGAGTTTCTAGGCTTGTTGAAGTTCTTCAAGCACAGCCGCCGCCGGCAAGGTGAGTCCATCAACAGCTATGTGGCGCGGAAGACAGAGATATATCTTCGAGCACAACAGGCCATGAAGCGGTTGGGACCTCTTCACCAGAAGGCCAAGGAACCCGAGACGCGACCACAGGATTGGTCGTACTCACGACCCGGATGGTGGCAGGAGAACTCCTACTATGACCGGCCTTGGGCCAGATTCCTGGATGGACCGATCCTGGAATCGGAGCGCAAACAGCACCACGACCGGTGAACCCGGCGACGATGATCCAGAAGATGACAACCAGGAGGCCTCCAACCGGAGGCGAGAGAGCGTAGCGAGCGATTCGACGTGGAGCTACTCGGATTGGTCACGAAGTACCTCATGGTACTCCGGAGGATGGCACCAGTGGCAAGGCAGCTGGAATCCATGGCCAAACGCTGGCCCCTCAGTCACTCCAGAACTCCCGGAGCTGATGCCGGAGTTCGTACAAGGATGGTTGTTGTTGCAAGATTGCAATCTGGATGCCGGCGAGAGAAATCTCGTCATTACTGCGGCAGGAGGTGATTTCAGCTTGAACCGGATCATCAAGGAGCTCCGGGCGCAGTTTCCAGATGCAGACTTAAAGCGACGAGACACCAGCCGAAAGCACCACGGCTTCCTCGGGGCCATTCCGGAAGAGGATGAGGACGACTACGAGGACGCCCCCGCCGAGATGAGCTTCATCGCGGAGGAGGAGTTGAATGATGAGGGCATGGCTCTATGGGCCGCGGCCCGCGGCCTCCGGAGAGGCCGAAGAGGCGCTCGCAGCGATGCATCAGGCTCGGAGAACATTGCGGGAGGCCCGGCAGGAGCAACATGCAGTCAAGATGAGTCGACAGTACTATCGCCCTGGAGGCGGTGGCCGAAGGGACGATTCACAGATCATCTGCATGAGCTGCGGAAAGAAGGGACATCGGAAAGCCAACTGTCCCGACGAGGTCGGGACCCACACTCGGAAGGAGCCCGAGTCAGCTCCCTTCCTATGTTACGCAGGAGACCCCGAGCCGGCCGACCGCATCGAGTCCGCAATGGGGACAAGCCTTCCCACAGCAGCTGCGGTGGCCCAGGGCAAGTGTGTGGTGGACTGCGGCGCCACACGCTCCATTGGCTCCATCAAAGCCCTCGAGCAGCTGATGAGCCGGAACGTCGCGAAGACCGGGAGCCCAGGCGTGAACCAGGTGGACCTCCACGACAAGCCCACGTTCAACTTCGGGAACTCCAGTGAAAATCAATGTGCAAGCACAGTGGAGATGAAACTGCAGGCGGGAAGCCGTGAAGGCCGCCTGCGCATTCATGCTCTGGATATGGGACAAGGGCCCATTCTCCTCTCCATAGCAGCTCTCAGGGCCTTAGGGGCGATCGTGGACTTCGAGGAGGACGTCATGGTGCTACGCAATGTGGATTGTCACCGTCTCATAGAGTTGGAACGATCCGCCTCAGGCCATCAGCTCTTGGATTTGTCATCGAATCTTTTTGAAAAGTCGCAGCCCACCGTGCAGGCTGTCCCTAGCCTGCGAAGTTTTGTACAGAAAGAGGTCGCCGATGAGTAGGGACAGCTCCTCTCCCGAACCAGTCCTGAGGTGAAAGGAGAGGGACCGCAGAGCAGATCAGGAACAGGGTTAGATGTCAGGAGCCCGGGGAAGGGCTTCGCTGATTTTCATGGTACATCCGATCCCCTAGTTAGTTCTATCAGTGCTACTTCTTCTGAGCAGTTTGATTCAAAATCCAGTCTTGAGCCAAAACAGCATACAGCACCGCCGGGAGCCGCGACAGCTAGACATGTCGTCGATGACCAATGCCCAGCTGCGAGCTCGCATCGCGGAGTACGGGGAACAGGCCCCGTCCCGGTGGACCAAGGCCGAACTACTCCTCCGTCTGGAGGAACTCACCGGACAGAACACCTTCAGCCCAGCGCCGAAGAACCGAGCCGAGAAGACGGAGTATCAGCGCCTCGTCCAGGACCTCAATGGGGCCTCCAATCGGAGGGCCGAGCTGGTGAGCTTCTGTCGCAACAACCTGCGGCTGAGCGTGGACGAGAACATGACCATGAACGCCTTGAAACGTCTGGCAATGCTCCACATCTACCAGACAAGCCGACCGGATCCCACGGATACGGTGGGGTTCGGAAAACACTCCACGGCCACCTACGAGGAGATCAAGGTGCGCTACACGGAATACGCCAGGTGGGTCGTGACGACAGCCAAAGAATTTGCCGAAGCCGATCCTCGACTACTACGACTTGCGGAATGGCTGGAGAACAATCCAGCGCAGGTGGAGAGAGCCAGCGCGAAGATGACGGCTCAGGCGGAACTACGGAAGGAACTAACGTATGCCCGTGCCGGAGGTGATCCACCGCAAGGACAAGAAGTCATCACGATCGGAGGCCAGCAGCTCCGGCTATGCCAGTGGGGCAGACAGTGCCAGCAGCAGCAAGATCGAGGTGCTTGCCAATGTGGTGGACAAGTTGCGCGAGGAGATTGCGGACCTGAAGAAGGACCGCGAGCCACGGCGCAAGGTGAAGACCGTGGAGACGGACTCCGAGATGAGCGAGGGCTCGTTTGCGATGATTCCTACGGGCAAGGGTGGGTCGAAGACTCAGGGCCCCAAGAACTAAGGGATTTCTCCGAGACTGAGGTTGCACACAGCCGCACTCTTAGTGCCTCCCAGCGGCTCAGCCAAGAGCTTAGTAGGACCAAGGCCCGACATCTCGAGGACTCTGCTTGGTCAGTGGTTCCCAGGTTGTTTGAGGGTCTGGTTACTCAGGATAGGCCTGTAGTTCTGGAAGTCACGGAGGCAACCGAGAGTGCTTTGACGAGCGAAATCAATGCTCGGACCAACAAGGTCAGTGCCGCGAGTAGATGTGCAGCCTGGAACGGCTGCGACCTGCACACGGGTGCAGGCGTGAAACTCTTGTTGGACAGGCTGAGGTATGAGCAACCCCGTCATATGTGGATAGCTTTGTCTAGTGCATCGTTTTCGCCATGTCAAAACTTGAACCAGAAGTCTGCGGAACAACAGGAACAGTTAGCCCAGCGTCGGAGAAACGATCACAAAAGATTTGTAGGTGCGAGCTGTGTTGTCCACACGTGTTTTCAGCTAGGCATACATGTCAGTTGGGTTTGGCCCATGCAGAGCCAAGCCTGGCGGCTACCTCTGATTCAGAAGCTGCAGCAAAAGTACCAGATGCACCTCAGTGTCGCGAGAGCTTGCAGCTTGAATATCAGACATCCCAGGAGCCATCAATTCCTCGCCCAGGGATGGAAGCTGATGACCACATGTGCTCGTTTGGCCCAGGTGTTCGAGAAGCCCTGTAGGTGTCCAAAGAACTATAGACATGCCGGTAGTGAGGGCATCCGGGATGCCCATCATGACGTTTATCCTCAGGCCATTGCACAACTGGTAGCCCCCGTTCTCTGTCAGGAACTGTCGCATACTGCCGTTCTTTCGGAGTGCAGGGACAGCAGTTCTCTTCCAGTTGACTTCGGTGTAGGAGAGCGGTGTGTGTGTTCGGATGTAGGCTACTTGGACAGGGATCTGAAGTGTGGTTTCTGTAGCGACAACAGGGATACTTCAGAGGTTGACAACAGTAGGTGTGCAGAGGATGAGGGAGAAGAGAGTGAGACAGAAGAGGCTTGGTGGTCCGAAGCCACATGTGCAGAAGTGGAGACTCAGGCCCGGGAAGCTCATAGGACAAAACAGTGGGATTACGCTACTTGCAGTAAGATCCTGGAAATGTTGCCCCTCAAACCCACGAAGAAACACCGCAAGATGATAGGCCCCCAACAGGCGAAGTACCTGACGCTGGGTTTGTATTCTCATGGCAACCACTACGGAGTGACGACTGCAAGTCAGTATCTCCCGAGAACCTGCCAGTATCTCAACACTTGTCTTAGGAAATGGCATCCCGAAGCTATTGAGAACACTTCTATCGTTGTGAGCCTGAACAACAAACTTCCCCTCCATAAGGACAACCACAACGTTCCAGGTTCCCTGAACTACTGTGTCGGCGTAGGGAAGTATAGCCAGGGCGGTTTGTGGATCGAAAGCAAACTGCCCGGAACAGCGTCAAAAACCAGCTGCAAGGTGTTACCAGATGGACGGCGCATCAGCGGCCAGGTCTGGCCCACCTACCACCAAGCGGTGGCCTTCAACGGAAGCAGTTGGCACGAAACGGAGGCCTGGCAGGGAAATCGGATGATGCTCACTGCGTACAGTAGCCGAGGATGTGCCTGTGTGGGTTCCGAAGTGCTTCAGGATTTGAGGGATTTAGGGTTTCATCCGCCGAATATTGCAAGTGCACAGGAGTGTGAAGAGGCCTACGTCTTGCGCAGAGCTGACTTGCTTAAGAAGAAGCCTCGAACCGAAGCCAAGCTCCCCGGTTCCCTGAAGCAACGACAAGAACAGATTAAGAAGCAGCTGTATCTGTTGCATTCGGCGACAGGTCACGGTAGCAAAAAGGTGTTGCTGGAAGCGTTGCGTAGGAGAAACGCCCCCGAAGAAGTGATGTCCTTAGCCCGGGAGTTCAGATGTTCTGTGTGTGAGGAAAAGCAACAGATAGGACCCAGACACATGTCGTCGTTGGCGGTTCTTCCCCCAAAGTGGCATGCCATTTCCGCGGACATAGGGCACTGGAGACACCCACACACCGGAGAGCATGTGCAGTTCATGTTAGTGATTGACCAGGGAAGTAGGTTTCGCCAGGCCCGAGTGTTGACCCGAGGTAGCAAACAGCAACCCAGCGCCCAAGCTTGCCTCCAGTTTCTGGATGAAGGTTGGAATCAGATCTTCGGGAAGCCCAGAGCTTTGAGGCTCGATCCCGCAATTTCTTTTAGGAACCAGAGTGTGGTAGAATACTGTGATCGTCATGGAATCTACTTGGATTTGATTCCGGCGGACGCCCATTAGGCCACCGGAATATGTGAGCAGGCAGTGCAGGGTACGAAAACCCTGATGAGGAAGTTGGCCGAGGAAGAACCGGCACTCCCCGCGGAGGCCGCCTTAAGCCAGACGATCCGGATCTTCAACGAGCGGGAACAGATCCGGGGATTCTCTCCCATCCAGCACGCCTTTGGGAGAAGTCCTGACGCAGCAGGTCGTTTGGGCAATGGCCCGAACGAACTTCCCGACGAGCTACTGGTGGAAAGCGCGGACGCGGACTTCGAGCGGACAGTGAACCGAAGGGCTACAGCAGAGAAAGCCTTAGCGGATTGGCAGGCCGCGCAGCGGATTACCCGAGCGACAAACTCGAGGACCCGACCGGTCCCCTCATACGAGCCCGGTGAGCTAGTCTATTTTTGGAGAACACAAGATGCGTCCCAGGGAAGACGATCGCCAGGCAGCAAGCGAGGACGATTTCTGGGGCCAGCCCGTGTGCTCGCCTTAGAGAGACGCCCCGACGAGGAGGGAGTTTCCAGAGCAGCCAATGCGATTTGGCTGGTGCGTGGACGGAATCTCTTGAAGTGCAGCCCGGAGCAGTTGAGAAGAGCGTCTCCCAGGGAGGAACTCCTGGAAGGATTGGCTACCCGACATGGCGAGGAGGCTACGCCCTGGACCATAACACGACTGGCCCAGGAGTTGGGTGGAACGCAATATGAGGACCTATCGCACGACATCCCGGACGACAGCGAGTGGAACAGGGCCCAGGACGACGAGCAGGAGGAGGCCCCCGTGCGACTACGCCTACGGACGAAACGACCGGCGCCAGAGGAACCAGACGAGGCCGAGCCGAACCTGACCCCCGCCGAGCTCGACAAGGACCCTTGGTGCCCGAGCAGGAACACAGTGCCTGGTGGAATGAGGTTCAGGAGACCGCCTGGCCCCAACAACCGCAGTACTGGATGGAGCAGGATGCAGCAATTCATGTGGAGGTGCCCATGCCCACAAGCCGACGGGGCAATCAACAGGCTTTAGAGAACCTCGCGTGCTACGTTTCTGGCTCTCTCAAGCGGAGAGCCATCGAAGTGTCAGAGCGACGCTTGTCGGAGGCTGAGCGTGACGCCTTCAAGGAAGCGAAGAGCGCCGAGGTCAAAAACTTTATAGCCGCCCAAGCGTTTGAAGCTTTACCGGAGGAGTTAAAACCATCGAAAGAGCAAGCTATTTCCATGCGTTGGATACTTACTTGGAAGCTTCGCGACGACGGGACTACAAAGGCAAAGGCCCGTGCAGTGCTACTTGGCTACATGGACCCTTCATACGAACACCGCTCGACCACTTCTCCAGTGATGACGCGGCAGACCAGACAGCTGATGCTACAGGTCGCAGCAAACAAAGACTGGAAGATCTTTAAAGGAGATGTGTCTGGAGCATTCTTGCAAGGAAGATCGTATCCTGACAAGCTTTATTGCATCCCTTGCAAGGAAATCTGCGAGGCCATGGGACTGCCAGAAGGGAGCATCACACGCGTGCGCCGTGCTTGCTATGGACTGGTGGACGCTCCTTTGGAATGGTACAGAACAGTTTCCGAATACCTTGAAACATTGGGCCTGGAGCGCCTATGGTCTGATGCCTGTTCATGGGTTTGGAGGCCTCAAGGAGTTTTACGAGGGATGATAGCTGGTCACGTAGACGATTTCTTGTTTGGTGGTCGTGAGGATGACGAGGGCTGGCAGCATATCCTTCGGCAGATCAAAGAAAAGTTCAAATGGGGGGATTGGGACCAAGGGCAGTTCACTCAGTGTGGTGTTGAGGTGGTTCAGGATGCTGAAGGGTTTACCCTGTCGCAGGCCCGCTACGTCAGCCAGCTGAGAGAAATCGGAGTGAACAGCAGCCGTAGAAAGGACACCCAAGCTCCCACCACGGAACATGAGCGTAGTCAGCTCAGGGCCTTGCTGGGTGCTTTGAGTTGGCATGCACAACAAGTAGCCCCACACGTCTCTTCTGAAGTAGGCATGCTTCTTTCCGAGGTTAATCAAAGTACTGTGCACACCATTATCAAGGCGAATACCTTGTTGGAACACGTGCGTGCTAGGAAAGACCACAAGCTTCGTATTCACAAGTTTGCTGAAGATGAAGAGTTGGGAGTCTTTGGTTGGGTAGATGCCGCTAGCCAGAACCGTCCCGACGGTGGAAGCACTCAGGGAGTACTTGTCGGCCTGGCGCCTCTGTCGCTCTACCGTGGGGAAATGACTAAGGTCTCCATAGCATCTTGGCATTCACATCGCATCGATAGGATTTGCAGAAGTCCAGGAGCAGCAGAGACTCAGGCAGCTGTGAACGGGGAAGACTCCGTGTACTACATGCGATACCAGTGGAGCGAAATCATCCACGGTGTCGCATCCGCAAGGGACCCAGAGGGCTGTGTTAGGAAGGTTTTCGGGTGCATAGTGTCGGACTCACGAAACGTGTACGATAAACTGCAAACGGAAGTACTCAGCATCAAGGGTGCCGAGAAGCGCTCCAATCTGGAGCTCTTGAGTTTGAAAGAGGCCCAGCAGCGCACTCAGCTACAGATCCGCTGGGTGCATTCCGAGGCGCAGTTGAGTAATCCTTTGACTAAAATAGGCAGTCAGAAGGAGCTGGAGCTGTTCTATCGGATGGGATGCCTCTGGCGGATCGTTGACGA